GTTTTTGCCATTGAAGGGAAGAGATCTGCGAAACTGTTGAGCGGTTTGAGAAGATGAAGGGATACGTGTGATGGTGGGGATGACTACCTTTACCTTTTAGTTCCACTTTTTTTGGTAAGTGGATATTTAATTTGACTTAAGTATATCATTACCATTATTAAAAATGTTAATAACGGTTAATAAGGTTTTTAGGGATAATTGAAAAATCTTTTATGTAGTTTAGGTGATTTTAAAAAAAGAAATAAAAGGGGTGCAAAAGTGATAAAAGTTTAAACATGACAGTATGGCATGCAATTTCCTCTATTTGGTGGTTGCCTATTCCTTTTCCACCAAGCATGTTTTGATAATCTCCCAAATCGCGTTACCTTAACACGGTTGGGCCTCAATTGCTCATCTCACTTTTTACCCAATTAAATTATAACTAGTGGGCTTAACTCCTTCATGTATGACAATTTAACCATTGAGCCTCATTCAGTTTAGGATTTACTTTTGGCCCAAATGCGTTAGTGTTGGGTACACCTAGTGCCGACTGGAATTTTTGTTCGGTATCTCGCCGCCACTGAAAATACTCTAATATCCTAAGAATAAACCATAAAAATATCAAAGTGCAAGAATCCATCTAATAAATAAATAAGTCGAAAAAAAATATATAAGTGCGATAAAATTAAGCATATGAAAATACGCTAATAAATATATAAAACACACACTTTTTCCGACCAATCATTTACCATACAACTAAAAAAAATACAAACCTAATTAAAAATTGAAATTACATAAATCGGTATGAAATAAATTAAACAAGTTAGGAAAAATAAAAGATATGATAAAATTAATAAGGTACTATTAAGAAAAAAGAGTGAAAGAGAGAAATTACAATTATGTTCCAAAAATATATCAAGAGTGGTTTCTATTTATAGAGAATGAAAAAATACGAATTTTGATATTTTTATTTATTTTTTGCATATAAATTAATATCAATTATTTGAGTTATAATTATTTTATTATATAAAAATTTGATTGACCAATGGGAATGGGATAAGTGTCCCATTCCACTCACCTAATTTATCTCTCTTCTCGTGACCAGGTTGTGTCTCAAGGTCACAATTTCACCTGGGTTGCGGGATATTTCCTTTTTTTTTTTTAGCTGGTGACCCAATGACATGGGTCACCAATAAGGATAGTCTAATGTCCGCAAGACAACCGGGATAGGTTCAATCTATCTAAAGAATCATGATGGATCCACCAGAGTTTTGACGGACGTTCGGTACGTGCCGAGTTTGAAGAAAAGTCTCATCTCATTAGGAGCCTTTGAATCCAAAGTCTTGGTAGTGACTTTGCGAGATAGAGTTATGAAGGCTACATCTGATTTGCTCGTCATGATGAAATGCATCATGAGAAATAACTTGTTTTACTATGAAGATGATGAAGTTGTTGAGACAACAACAATAGCATATTCCCACCAACAAGGAGTCTGAATCAGTCAAGTTGTGACATATGTGGTTGAGACATGCTGATGAAAAATCCTTGTAGACATTGTCAAAACAAGGACTGTTGAAAGATGTCAAAGTGTGCAAACTAAACTTTTGTGAGTATTATGTTGTGAGAAAAGCGAAGAGAGTGAAGTTTGAAACAACTACCCATAATATCGAAGGTGTCTTAGATTATGTTCATTCAGAAGTTTGGGGACCTTCTAAGACCCCGTCATTAGGTGGAAGACGCTATTTTTCACTTTTATTGATGAATTTTATAAACGTGTTTGGGTGTACACTATGAAACGGAATGATGAAGTGCTTGGTATTTTCGTTACAAGGAAAATACAAATTAAAAATCAGACTGGAAGAAAGATCAAGGTCCTACGAGTGTACAATGGTGGAGAATATACAAGTGATCCCTTTAAAAAAAGTTTACTGTAAAAATGGCATTGATAGGGACTTCACAGTTAGACGGACACCACAAAAAAATGGGGGTCACAGAGCGCATGAATCGAACATTGGTGGAGAAAGTTTGATGTATGTTGTCCAATGCTGATTTGGACGAGGAGTACTGGGTTGAGGCTGTAACATACGTGCAACACCTTATAAATCTATCATCTTCATATGTAAAACATGGTAAAACACCACTGGAGGTATGGTCTGCAAAACATGTTGCTAACTATGAATCTTTACACGTCTTTGGGTGTCCTACGTATTATCATGTAAAGGATTTAAAGTTAGACACAAGAGAAAAAAAAAGACTTTGTTCATGGCCATCACTATTGGCGTGAAGGTATATCGTCTTTTGTGTCTTGATACAAACAAAAATGTGTTCAGCAGGGGTTTTATATTTGATGAACAAGATATGATGAAAACGAAACATACCCAACAAGTGGAGCTGACACCAAAACAGGTGGAGATAGATGTGATGACGAGACAACAAACTATGATCGACGAAAAAGATTTTTCGGATGATAAAGAAGACGTTTATTAGATTCAAAAGTCATTAGAGTTATCTGTGCATTGAGAAAGCCCAGACGAGAGATTCAACAACCTGCTCGATTAATGGATATAGTGGCTTATGCACTTTCAATTATTGATGATGACATACTTTTCACTTTTCAAAATACAATTTGAAGTTTAAAAAATGAGAAGTGGAAAGGGGCTAGAGGAAGAAATGTCGTCGCTCAAGAAGAATCCAACTTGGAATGTGACACAACTAGCAAAGGGAAGGGAAATAGAATGCAAGTGGGTATTTGCAAAAACAAAAAAAAAAAAGATCTATTTATAAGAATGATGTACGCTACAAGGCAAGATTGGTGGCTAAAAGGCTACGCTCAGAAGGAAGGAGCTGGTTATAATGTAGTATTTTGTCAAGTTGTTCAAAACTCTTTCATAAGAATTGTGTAGGCCTTAGCGGCACAGTTGAATTTAGATCTAGCTCAACTTGACGTGAAGACAACGTTTTTACACAGAGATTTAGTTAAAGAAAGCGACATGACTCAACCAGAAGAATTTAAAATTCTTAGAAAATAATATTGGATTGTAATTTGAACAAATCGTTGTACGGACTAAAGTAATCTCCGAGATAGTGGTAGAAACAGTTTGATAAGTTCATGATTGGGCAGAAGTGCACACGAAACATACATGATCATTGTGTGTATCTACGCAAGATGTAAGATAGATATTTCATTTACTTACTTCTGTACGTGGATGACATGTTGGTTACATCAAAGAATCAAGTGAAGATTGATCATTTGAAGGCTCAACTGAATCAAGAATTTGAAATGAAAGACTTGGGGGAAGCTAAGAAAATACTCGAGATGGAGATAAGTAGGGATGAAATGAGAGGAAAGCTTTGTTTGACTTAGAAGCAATATCTGAATAAGGTTTTAGCGTTTCAACATAAAAGATCATGAATCGAAGTCTGTAATTTGAAGTTAAGTTCCCAATTATCGCCAAGCTCTGATGAAGAACGAGAGTACATTGCTAGAGTCCCATATGCGAATGCAATTGACAGTTTGATGTATGCGATGATGTGTACCAGACCCGATATTTCACAAGTAGTTGGTGTTGTTAGCAGATATATGCATGATCCTGGTAAATGTCATTGACAAACTGTGAAATGGATTATATGGTACACTACGCTGGCAATTTGGATAAGCAAATATCAATGACTGGATTTTGTTTACTTTTGCAAAAGCTCCAATCAGTTGGAAGTCTATTTTATAGTCAATGGTTGCTTTGTTTACAATAAAGACATAGTATATGGCGCTTATTGAAGCTGTGAAGGTGGAAATTTGACTTTAAATTTTGATTAAAGACTTGGGAGTCGGTCAAAAGCATGTCTTAGTGTATTGTGACAGTCAGAGCGCTATTCACTTAATGAAAAATCAAGTGTTTAATGCAAGAACAAAACATACTGATGACATTCGCTATCACTTTGTGCGGGAGATTCTAGAAGATTGAAATGTTGTGTTGAAGAAGATTAGGATGACGAATAATCCTGTAGATATGAGGTGACGGAGGTAGTAATAACAAAAAGTTTGAATATTGTTTAGACTTTACAACCTCTGCATATTTGAGTTGGCGCGAGGGGTGTATTTAGAGGCACCGCCAGTAGCTGGATTGAAGAGTTTAAGTGAGAGCAAAATTAGTCAAGGTGGAGATCAATTGTTAATTTTTTATTTATTTTTGTGACACATTGGATGTGTACCAAAAATATGTAGAATCATTTTATTATTAATATGCCCTTGTCTTTGGTTTACCATTGCATATTATTGTATTCTCCCATATCTTAGAAGAAATCTTTAATTAAGGAAAACCTAATTTATTGGATTATTTAACTCTAGTTGTATTTTGTTGTGAGTTTAGTGAATTGTCGTTGCGGTTGGTGAGACGTAAACAGTATTGGCCGAACTCCGTTATCAATTTTGCGTGCCTTTTCTTTCTCGTCTTTTATTTATTTGTGTTGGTTTATTCTTTTAATAGTAGTGTTTCTCACTATTTGTTGTCGAAGTACTTTTGTGAGTTGCACTTCAAGTTGATAGGATCCCCCTTTTCGTCCCCATGTCGCCCCATGAGGACGAAAAAAGGTACCCCAAACAAAACAAACAGATAAATGAGCTCGAGCTTGGTGGCTTATTTATCATCAATACTAATACTAATGAGTCGAGTTCGAGTCTTTGCAAGACCAACTCGATCCGAGCTATAATTACAAAAAATTTGGAACCTTAGCGAAGTGTGCTCGCTAGATGCTAGTTTCGTTTAACAACTCCGTTCGCTTACTACATGAATCCCGACCGTGCGCATCTGCCATACAATTTGGACAACTTGCATTAAGTTCAAACTCTTGGATTCATATTATCTCACCTTCAGCCATGCGGACAACTCACAAACAGTCACGAAGCAATGCTTATAGCCAGTTCATGTTATTCAAAAACATTCAAGTATGTGAAATAAGGTTAAATCAACTCATCCCAAAGTGCAACACTAGTTGTTACAGTGGACCCGCACCGAACAAACCAATCAATCCTTGAAATTCTTGGCCATCTCCCTAAGCAAAAACTTCTGCAGTTTCCCTGTAGAAGTCTTTGGGAGCTCGTCCTTGAACACCACTTTCCTCGGCACCATATACAGCGGCAGCCTCTCCTTGCAGTAGTCTCTTATATCCTTCTCGGTCGGCCTCTCCTCCTCCCCTTTCAGGCTGACGAACGCGCACGGCGTCTCCCCCCAATACGCGCTCGGCCGCGCCACCACCGCCGCCTCGTTCACCGCCGGGTGTCCGTACAACACTGCCTCAACCTCCACGCTGCTCATGTTCTCCCCACCACATATGATCACGTCCTTCGACCGGTCCTTCACCTCCAGATACCCGTCCTCGTGCACCACCCCCACGTCCCCTGTATACAACCACCCGCCCTTCATGCACCCGCTTGTCCCCTTCGGATCCTTGAGGTACCCGAGCATCACGCTCCCTCCCTTCAACACAATCTCCCCCACCGTGCTCCCGTCCCTCGGCATGCTTCGCCCCGTCTCCGGATCCACCACGTCGTACCCGGAAAACGCTGCCAACGGGACACCCTGCCTCGACTTCATTCGAGCCCGTTCTTCCCCCGGAAGCCCGTCCCACTCGGGCTTCCACGCGCACGTCACCACCAGCCCGCCCGTCTCCGTCAGCCCGTACCCATGGCTGACGGCGAAGCCCAACGACTCAATCCGCGCGAGGACCGCCGGCGGAGGCGGCGCTCCTCCCGTCATCACGTGGACGGCCACCGGGCC